AGCACTTCTTTGGTTTCATTTTGATCGAGTTGGTCGAAAACCGCTTCTCTCACTGTAATCCAGCGTCCAGAACCTGCATCGGTGTAAACAGCATTGTGCTGTAAAAGTGTGCTGAAAAAAGGATGCACGAGTTTCTTCCACTTCGGGTCAATGCAAGTAATGTTGGGCCACGCTCTGTAAAACAACAACCAAGGTGTCTTGATCACATTACTGAATTTCAAAACAGTAAGGTTGTCGCGGTAAAACATATCAAACTTAAAATTTATTGGTGACTGATTTTAAAGATGCTACCACTAACTTGTAAATTGATGCTCTTGGTAGAAAACACGGTTCCCATTTTATTGCTTGCAAAATCAAGGTGGCATATGCCCTGGGTGTAGCCTCCTCCAGGAGACAACTATTCCACAGCAGTGACTTGTCTGTCAGTTTCCGCCGACCCTTCCTTTCTCGCTCTTCTTGGTCTGCATCAGGAGACTTAATATAACGCCTGTTTTGACTCAAAGCGAAGAAGCCATTTATGTGTACTGGCAAACCAGTCAGGCTCCTCGTCGGGACTGGTAATGGCAAGAAACAAAACACGTGGCCCTTGATATCTGGTGTCTGCATTTCAGGATCATTAGGTAATGGCATGGCAACACCCACTATGGGTAGATAGTTTAGCTCTTTATCTGTCATCAACCGTTTGAAGTTCGATGAAACTTCTCCTCCACAAAAGTAGTTGGTGACAAGAAAGGAGTACTGCTGCAGATGGTCCGTTTCATGAGATGTTCCGAACTTGATTGTCTCTATAGTGATTGGATACGTCACTACAACAGAGTGGGGCATCAGTTCCCCAGGCCTGATCTTTCCGAGAAACTCTTTCCTCTTAGAGCGAACTAATTCCAATTTATTGTCAGCAACTCTAACCTGAAAGGATCTTCTAGGACTGGCTTGTGACTCTTCTCGAACATAAAGTTCAATTGATTCCAAGTGTTGAAGAAAGAGAAGGACCATGTGAGCATCAGCCTCAAAACTTTCAAACAAAGTATCCATTTTCTCCTCGGTGTAGAGTGTATTTGATAAATCAGAAGGTGTGGTCCTCAGGGGAAAACGGAACAAGGTGCCATCATAATAACCGTTGGAAAACACTTCTTCCTTACAGTCGAAGATTCCTTTGAAAGGAAGGAACTGATCGGGTATGTTGTTCATCTCCGGACAGTCTTCATCAAGTCTCCAACATCTACCGGTTCTTATATTCCGTTTATCAGAAAAGTAAATTCCATGGGGGTCAATAAATCCAATTTTTTCAGCGCTAAGCACACTTGGTAAATCTTTAAGAAAAGAGAAACTAGATATCAGTTGTAAATTTTTACTACCGAGTATATCGCTATTGATTTGATTTCAATATATCAACGATGTAAAAAATTACAAAGTGGATCTTGAAGGAAATGAAATAATATTTTTAATGTAAAATTAGAATGAATTATACAAGACCCATGGTGAGCGACCTTACCAATAACATAGTTATGACTGGTCATTTTGTATTAGAGTGTTCAGAATGGTGTGGAAAGACGCCATTACAAGACACAATATCTTTTTATATTTGGCATAAAGGAAGCTAGCAGCAAACTGAATCAGGTAAAATACCGTGGCAGAGATGTCCTGACTATTTTCTCTGATACATGCACATAAGGACCCATTATCAGTTACCTGTCATATGCAGTACAGACTTAAAACCCAAGCCGAATCGACCAACTTTCATGGGGTCTTCCACTTTGATACTAGCGCTAACAAGTCGTATACCTTTCCAGTCCTCTTTCCTAAACTTTGCATCGTTGTAGGAGAAAAGTGCTGGACCCTGCGACGAGAACCGTGAAGAGAGATTAGGACTCAAACTTGGCAGCAATGTAGATACAAAGGAGCGGGGGCTTCTTAGTTCGTGCAGGGTTCTCGGTGAAACGGTTTTGGTTTCCAGACCTGGGCGAGTATTTATGTTGATTTCTATGACAAAACGTTTCACTTTAACGGTAACTATCTCCACTTCGGAATCTAAATGGGGGCAGGCAACATTCCTAGCTGCTACTGCAGGAACCAAAATTTCATTTCCAATAATTTCCTCCGGTAGACAGATCGTTAACGTCTATCCAGGCTGATCCCTTTGACATAAGCAGTAGTTTCTTGATCTTTAAACTCTAAAACAAGTTTTTGCCAATTGTTGTAAAACATGAAATCTGCATCAAATAATTTTAAGGTCAATGAGATTTCTTTTCTAAACTCATATTTACAAAGAGTCGGTCATCACCTGAAATTGTGCGAGCTTCTCATCAAATAGATGTTCAGTTCCATAACTGTTTCTGTCATGTAAAAACTTTACGTGTCTGGCATTTGCATCCTCCGCATTTTGAATGAGTTCCTGGGAGAAACAGCAATTTAAAATTGTGTAATGCGGGAACAACACCGATTGAAAGTGTTTTAATTTTCAAATTAAAAAGAAAATAAAAGAATGAAAGAGGAAACGAAGGGTAAATATCCATCACTTTCACCGACACTGTGGTGAAAAGTTGTTTAAGTGTTTACTAATACCACACAGAAACCAAAATTAATTTTATTTCTGGCAGTATACCAAAAAATGGTCAGAAATAAATATATATATATACTCTACGGCAGTATTTGGTATAGGTCTTGAAAAAAATTTAGGGCAGCATTTTCAAGACCTCGGTCACAGTTTTTCACC